CTCTCAAGATCGAGACTCGATATTTTCCAACAATGAAAACGTCGAAATGTCGTTATTTTCTGTAAATATGCTAACTATAAATTCAAAATAAATAGTTCAAAAGATTTGAACCAAAATGTTTTGATTTTTTGGGGAATTTTTCGTTAAGAAATTCAGGATTCAAATGTTGAAGTGAACAAAATGGCGGTTGTTTGAATTCGAATTTGTATCACAACATGACCATATATGGGGCAGAATAATGATGTTGCACTCTGGGAGCCAATCCTCCTTGGTGTCAAGTTACATATCATTTTCCAGATATCAATGAGTGCTCATCTGGAAATGGTGGATGTGCTCAGACATGCATTAACACTGTTGGCAGTTACAGATGTTCTTGTAAAGCAGGCTATGCACTTAATGGAAAGGCGTGTGTGGGTAAGAAGTCAGCGCACGTCATCTTCAATTAGCCTCTTTGCAGAACCAATTGAATCACTACAAAGATCACATGTCTAGAATCAAGACGCTTCTCCCCATTCTATCACATTTTGGTCCTTTCGCAATTATACTATATATATATTTTTTCATCACTGGGTTTGTGCAATTGTTGTAAGTGCGTAACATGACAAGACTTGTGTCGGATGAAAAAACAGGTAAAGGATTGAAATAGTTAAACAAAAAAAATTGTGTGGATTTTTAACGGATCTAAGCATGTTCTTCTTCATGTTAATAGATATCAATGAGTGTAACAGTGGAAATGGTGGATGTGCACAAACATGTACAAACACAGTCGGAAGTTACACGTGCTCTTGTAAAGCAGGGTATAGTCTTTCCACCACCAACGGACGCAGTTGTATAGGTACACATGTACACAGCTTATTTATTCAAATCAAAACTACATTTAGTTTTGTTTTATACCCGTTTCCTGTAACTTGTCCTCCTTTATGTTACGGCAGTCGAAAATTGCACTCCTAAATTATATTAAAGTACTTAATGTTACTGCAGATATTGACGAGTGCAAACTGGGAACTTCTCGTTGTGTACATGGATGCATAAACACACTTGGGTCTTACAGATGTTCGTGCCAAGGGGGATACACTCTTCAGTCAGACGGGTTTTCATGCAGTGGTAAAGTATTGGGAAGTGCCCAGGCATTCTATTTTAGGAATAATTATAATGATTTTGTCAAAATAGTGATAATATCATTCTTTCTTGACGTTTCTTTCCAAAAATAGTGTTTACAATCCAATACTTGTTGAATCATCCGAAACAAAGGCTTATTGATTTACCATTCGTTTCAGATATCAATGAGTGTGCACAACTAAATGCCGGTTGTAGCCAACGCTGTGTGAATACCCAGGGTTCATTTCGTTGTGAATGTAACGCCGGATATAAACTGAATGGACAGAGTTGTGATGGTAGTGTACTGTTTCATGCATGCAACATACCTTTTCAATAAATAATGAAAATTATTAACGAAGGCATAGTATCAAGATTTTTGATTTTTATGCATTGCTGCCAACAATGGTTCAAACAAAATTACAATGTCTCCTATTTCTGGCCTTTTTCTGTAATAATAAAGTAAGTCACTAGCTAGTTTCATTTGCTAAATTTCATGTGGCTATATTAGATGCAATATAGCGAGAGACTACGATAATTTCGTACGTTAAAGATATAAACATATACATTTAATAGTACACACTTCTCACATTTACTTCTGTTTTTTGCAGATATTGACGAATGTGCTGAGTCAGACCAAGGCTGCCAACATACGTGTGAAAACACACTTGGATCATATCGCTGTTCTTGTAATACTGGTTACGTCTTAGATGACAACAAGAAATCATGCAAAGGTACGACGAGAGAAAGTGACACCATTTGGAACAACAAACAATTAGCTATAACCCTGCGAAAACCAAAAATGAGTTCGGTTCCCAAATATATCACAATTCCTTCAAGAGGCGTGTAACAAATGTGTCAATCAATTACATAACATACTACCTAAGTTTAGTGGAAATAATAAAAATTATGTTAGTGGTGCATGCTTACAAAATCAACATACATTTGATTGCATTATTTAGGTTGATGAAATACCAAGGAGTTCTCATTGCATATATTTGAGTTGAAATTCCATTTGCCTATTTGCAATATCTGATCAATGTCATTTTATCTCAAATTTAAGACGAAGATGAGTGTGCCAAAGACCTTTGTGACCAAGGCTGTAACAATACTATTGGATCATACAAATGTTCTTGTAATGAGGGATATATCTTGGCAAGTAATGAGAGGTCTTGCTCAGGTAAGAGTATGCTGTGTGCACCATTGATACCAACGTTAGCATGTTATTATATTAAATATATAAGCACAAATGCCAAAGGGAAGGGTGACTAAAAACTTTAAAGAAACCCAACAAGAAAAGCAAACTGTAAGTGTAAATCTGTCATAAGAAAAGTAGACCCTATATATCCAAAAACCATGATCTAACGTGAAAAGAAACAATGTCTAACACCCCCTCCCTCCAATCGAGAACCAATATCACAATCCAGGACCAGAACACCAAGGGACATTTCATTCATACTGAAGTCATTACAATACATGTTGAAGAAAAAATGAAAAAAATTGATAGCCAATACTCATACCATCAAAAATAGGTGTAGATACTAGTACTCATAAAAGATAGAGTATTCAGTCTCAAATGATGTGGGATAGATAAAGTCCAGTCTCGAAGTCCATAGGCAATTCAAAGGCTCAACATCCGTTCGCAAAGTTACATTTGAAATTTAAAGTTTTTGAAAAATTACACAATAATAAATACATGCCAAACAGTTTGACACTTCTTCAAAACTCAACAAAACTCATGTATTTTAAATATAGAGAATCACATTTTACATTATTTTACGACGTTTTCAGAAATAGCTTTTTTCTATATACAGTACACTCCATTGATCAATAATGAGTATAAATATACGCATTTCAATGATTTCGATATACCCTCCGCCTCGCATTTTACACGTTTGCATGCTCTGATTTGATTAAAGATATTGATGAGTGTCAGATCGATAATGGTGGATGTGATCCGGATTTAATGAAATGCATCAATTCTATTGGTTCGTTTGGTTGTGATTGTCTCAAGGGGTATACATTTGAAGATGAAACGAGTAAAACATGTGAAGGTAAGTCAGTGAGGAAAAAAATTTATTTCTTAGCATGTTCAGTTTATGATTTCAAACAAGAGTAAATACACCTCGAATATAAATGTAAATAAGAAAAATAAATATATAATTCTATTTTCACTGGAATCATTATTCATTTTTTCAAAGTATGAATGGATTTTAATTGATTTCTTTAACCCTAATGCGGGCGTACAGGTACAGTAAAAACTACCATACTATAAGCCCGTCAACGCCCTCGAGAGAGGTATATTAAGATGTCAAGTAGGTCAATTGAGGTCAGAAGTAGATCAAAGTAATATAGGGGGGGGAGATTTTTTGGTGTATTTATACTTTCTCAACCACTATACCCCCGATCACCTCGATTTTTTATCAAACATAGTATTGTATCTGTAGCTTTAGCTACTACGATTACAGAAATATATTTTTCATGGCAGAAAAATACAGGGGGGTCTGGAGGGGGTCATTCTACCCCCTACTCACTTCCCACATTGAGGTTAAATTAGTTTGAAAGATCAAAGCATAGAACGGCGTGATGCCATGGCTGTTTTATTGTGTTCTATCTAGCCTGTATCACTTGGAATAGGTAAAAAAACATTCATGAAATAAATTTCATCACCCTTACAGATATTGATGAATGCCTGGAATTCAATGCTGGATGTCAACAGATGTGTAAGAACGTCATTGGTTCCTATAACTGTGACTGCAATCCTGGGTACTTACTTCATGATGATGGTGTGACCTGCACAGGTACGAATATCAAAAAGGACGTTTCATGTTGAACAATTTCTGATTCGTTGATTCTAATCTACAACTTAACCCCTTTGAGTGTTCATAACATAATTGAATAAACGTAGTAGTATTTTGATTGGCTGCAGACATCGATGAGTGTGCACAAGACTCGGATGGTTGTGCAGAAGGCTGTGTGAATACCCCTGGGGGATTTAGGTGTACTTGCAAGCCTGGGTTTTCTCTTAAAAGTGATGGGAAATCATGCGCAGGTATAACGACGATACATCTACCTTACATCAAACGTGTGTTTTCACGAAATATTATACAGACCCCAATGTATTACATATACAAAACGAGTATTTGAATTCCAATGAAAATTCTCAAAGAGGATGTCCTTACATTTAATAAAAAGTTAGGACATTCTAGGGAAATAAAATTAGCTCATTTAAATGCCAGATGTCGTCAAAGATTTTATCAACACTGTATGTATACATTGGTGTTACATTGAACCTTTTGATTGTATTGGGTGAAACATGACAATGTAATCGAATCTGCATATATACTTTCCTGAAAGATATTTATTTGAATATAAAAAGATGATACCATTTAAATAAATCCTGATTTTTACTGCAAACCAAAGTACTGGTTAACAGATAAGCATTATTATGAACAGAGAAAGTTTAATCATACAGAGAATCCATTACTCTATAACAGCAGCCGTTCACTTTTAAGCTCATATATACGGTGACTTGTACCGATTAGTTGACATCATATATTTCCAGAAATAAATGAGTGTCTTACAAATAATGGTGGCTGTACACATACCTGTACTGATAACTATGGCAGTTTTGTATGTTCCTGTCCCGATGGTTTTCTTCTTAGTCCTGATAAGTTGACATGCATTGATAAGTCGACAATTAAAGGTGGGAACTCATTTTAAATTTTATTAACATGTATGATAAAAAAAATAGTAGTTTTAAAGTATATTACACAAACGTATCATATTACTCTTTTATCCCTTAAATCTCGGACCTGAAAGACAACTTGTTTAAACAAAGTAAACGTGGACATACATCGAAAGAAATATCTATAGTCTACCCTCAACATGGATTGTTACTTTTTGATCAAATTAAGTTAACTTTTGTTGCTATTACCTAGGAGGTCATCTGGGGGTCCTCTTATAGGACCTGGGCTTAACTTGGGGCAACTTAGATATTATGCCACGGTCAACATCGAGGTCAAATATAGGATTTTCGAGTTATTCAAAGCTTGCCTAATTTTTTCATTGTTAAGTATGAGTATTCATTGTTCTTTAATTCAAATCTGACACAAATGCCTAGATTTTGAGAAATTTATGGTCAAGAAATTATTCTTAACTTTTTTTAAATTTGCCTTCAATTGAAATCTGACCTTACACTTTTGATCATCAAACTAGGTCACAAACTTGCATCAAAATGGTCTGCAAAGAAATCTGCTTCAAATATTGCCTAGATTTTGAGATATTGATGGTCAAAAGGTTATTTCTCAAAAACTAAAGACAAGTTATTTCAAGGTCAAATTTGATATTGCTTTAAACTGAACATATCTTTTTTAATATAATCCACAATTTGTCGGGAATTCAAAGATGACTTTAGGTTTGAGATTGATTTTTAGAAGCTTTCATAATTTTCCAAAATCTTTATGTTTCGTTGTTGTTAAGTATACTATTTCCTACAGATGCTTGTCACCCAAGTCCTTGTAAACATGGTGGAAATTGTTCCCTTGCTGGAAATGTTTACGGTTTTGTTTGCGCATGCGGGGACTCGGGATTCGGAGGCATGCTGTGTGATAGAGGAATCTTAACGTCTAATATTATTGATGATTCGTTCAACTCTGGACAGAAATCGGGATCCATTCAAGTGCAGGCAAAGCCAGATACCAGTCTTACTATTACTCCTACTGCCCCGGGACTCTCGTTCCTACCTCCATCCTTACAAATGACAAATGATGTAACATCCGGTGTATTTAACGTGAAAAGCATTTCGTCTGGAGTAAAAACAATCAAGTTCATTCTCTCTGGAATTGATGCAGATATATTTGATTTTGTCGAAGATTTGCAAGTGTTTGTCAAAGATGTGTTTGCACGTTTAAAACTTGCACGAAAGATTCTGCCTGGTGGATGCTTTCCACTGGCTTTAACCAGTTGCCCAGCTGTGTTTGATGCCGAGATTGGACTATCTTCTACGGCGGAATGGTATCAGCTTAACTCAAATACAAATGTTAAATTTACTCTTGGAATTGCATTTGTCGTCATCAATAGCTTTCCGTTACCAATTTCACTTAGAGGAGTTCAAGTTGAAACTGGTTCAAATTGGAAACTTTCTCTGGTTAGTTCATACAGGAAGGAAATGGATGGAACACTTTTAAACACTCCTAGGAAGCCTGGTTGTAACATTTCACTTACTTTACAAGATGTACAGGACTTCATTAAAGGTAACTCTTTTATCAACACATATTTCAACAGCCTGACGAACCTCCTTCCAAAGTGGATAAGCATTCTTCCAACCGACAAAACCCTTCTTGGGACAACTAACCTGAAATCTAGCGTCATGACAGGAGAACAGTTATCCCTTGTAAAACCATGTGCAGGAGCCCCTGTTTTCAAGGACAAGATATATTCGACATTTCGATTTGAAACAGATACTAAATTGGTTGTTTTTGATCACGAGGTGACGATTCCTGTAGTACAAGGGCAGCAGTTTTGCGTGATCGTAGATTTATGCCAAGACCTTGGCGGAACAGTTATTCTAATGTTCCCGACTCCACTGTCCAGGAGGAAACGAGATACTTATTCCGGTTGTGACGTTCTTAGTAAAATACCCATGGTTGGTGAAATTGAGAATTCAACTGGATTCGATATATGTATCAGAGGAATGGGATTCTCACTGACAAAACAATTGGCAGTTACGTCTCGTTTTTCGAAAACCTCGACTGCAGTAGAATTATGGAATGGAGATCAGCGTTTTGATTACAAGTATGTTGAGTTTAATTTGATTAAAACATTTTCTCTTCACATCAAATATTTTTCATTCATTCAAATAATTCCATATTTATTTGATATGACAAACCATGCCAGCTGCTATTTTTGATATGATATGATATGATTTAGGTTGTTTCCCGCTGCTCATGTATGGATTGCCGGTGAAGCACATATGGCAAAAACGAGTAAAGAGCTTTCTGTTAACATTTCAGCAGACATGCAAATCTTTGTGACCGTTCCGAACCCCATGAAGGTATATATCCATCCCTTTTTCACTAAACCCAATGTGATATTGTTCCAAACCCCATGCTCGTGATATCTTATTTCATGATATGATATTTTGATACGCATAAACGTATGTTGTGATATGATTGTGTTTTCTTTGATTATAGATCCTGACCCGTGTATTTTTGGAGAAGTGGAACGTTTTGGTCGAAGCAATAGGTGGTGCTGATGTCGCTGTGTCGTTTGAGCTATTCTCAAAGATGTATACCATATCAATGCCTAAAACAGGATTAGTTGGAACATTTGCTTTGCTTGATATTGGTGGTAAGATATGTATTGTAACCTTATACAATTCAGTAAAAAATACTGGTTGTTTGCTCAATGAGCAAAACATGCGTTTGATATATCGATCTTAATGAGAGTTAAGGGAAGATAGTATTACTCTTAATAGTAGACGAATATATTTATATAATAAACTAGAGTCATAGCCCAGGCATAGGCCCGTAAAAATGTAAAGAAATAAAGCTAACAGCATGTTCTGTAAGTGAATTTGACTCAATGTTATACATGTTCCGGGCCTATGCTTAGTATAGTCCCGCAGGACGAAGAAGATAAAAATTAAAATCAAAATAAAAATAATCGAACGAAAATAAATTGAAAAAGTTGAAAATTCGATTTCGATTCAATTTGATTTTCTGCCATTATAAATGAAATACTGTACTTACCAACATGTTTCTCGGATATATATGTTGTTCTTACTTTATCTTCGCCGAAGATCGATGTTTATTTATATATAACAATCGAATAATCGACATAATTCAAACTCATCACTACCACACCCGGGCTCCATTTAATTCAACACGCACTTAAGACGGGCCCCTTGGACCAAGCCTAGCTTATATCACTGGAGTTTCTGATCGAATTTTTGTCAAATCAAAAAAATAAATTACTCGGCAATAGGTTATTAAGATGAATATTGGCGAGAGGTGTACACTGACAAAGAATGGTTGAAATAACTCCATAAACGTTCAAGATCTAGGAAAAAACCGATGAAAATCTCCCCTAAAAAGGACCCCTTCGAAAATGGCATTCTCCATTTAAGGGCAAAAAGGCGGAGTTATAAGCGGACTGACACTTTCCTTAAATGGAGAAGTCTCGATGGGTCTCGCTTAAACTCCGCCCCTTCTTCGTGAAAAATCACGTGAATTCCGGCTTTTGCTGGGTCATATCCGGGCATCTCGGCTTCGAACCCAATCAGAAGTTTCAATTTTGACTGGCGCCGCATACATTATCTCAAGTCTCGCCCAATATTTTTATGTATACGTTAACCAGGTAAACTGTATGTCGATTCATGTCAACAAACTAAATTACAATTAAATGAAAATATTGTCTTTGTCCTCCATACACAACTTACAAAACAATTTTTAAATGTCACTGTAAACAGACTAAATTTTTCTGATTTCTAAGGTCTTGAGCTAAGAAAATGGTGCGCTCCAAACGCTAATCCACCTGGTATGTTCGCCTCGTTCTACCTAACCGTTAACCCATTCAGAGAAGTACCCATACTGCAGGAATTTGTGTTCAATTTCGACATCATTGCTTATGGATTTCTTACTTATGAAGTGTCCGATGATATGGAGAGCCTTCCAACGTATAGTATTTGGAATGATCTTCTGGAAGTTCAAGTTATTGTGGAAAATCTCAAGGCTCTAATTACTGAAAATATTGCAAGATTTCTAGAGACGCTGACTTTAACCGCTGCTGATGTTGTCAACACGTTCAGGGATGCAGTTTCCGAACTAATTGATGTGATTAAGAACGCAATTAATGGTATAAAGAATGGCAAATTTCCATCAATTCCAGATATAATCAAACCAGTGAAAGATGCAATCGACGACTTAAAGGCCATATGGGAAACATTTAAAGATGAAATTGAATTCGATGCCAATGCTCTAAAATCCAATGTTACACAATTTATCGATAGTGAAGTTGAAAGAATAAAGAACAATACCAAAGCACTGATTGAGAAAATAACTGGTCAAATCATGGATGTGACAGAAAACTATTCCGGTTATGGTTTAAAAGCATATGTGGACATTGAAATATTTGGGCTCCAGTTTCCCTCTCTCGATGTAGAATTTGTGTACAGTGTTGGATCACTAGGACAATGTAGCCGGTTTAATTATATGTATGATTTACTGAAAGGGAAGAATGCACTGCGGGCAATGGGTGTCTTTACCATTCACAAGGAACTTGGATATTTCTTGGAAGTAGCAAATGGATATGGATTAGAGATAGCATTCAGCAAGGAAGCAAAAGAAAAAACAATTGTGCACCTTATCGCCAATGCTAATTTCCTCGGTCTAAGAGCACGAGTTGATGTCTTCATATCTCTGTTTAAGCTTGGCTTTGGTTTTGAGGCAAATGTGTTTAACATATTCCGAGCAAGAATCGACGCAGAGGCCTCTGTCCCAGGATTCACTCCTTTTCAAGATTTACTGTACAAAGTAACTGTTCAGTTTCTACCTGGTGGAGATGATTCGTTTGAAGGAAGCTTTGGTGATGCACTGCGGCATGCTATTCAAAACATTGCAAACGCAGCAAATGATCGTTTAACTGCTGCACAGAATGGACTTGCAGCAGCAAGAGGTGGTCTCACCAGAGCTCAGCAATGGTAAGTAGCAATTTCATGATCATGCTTTATATAGAAAAACTTTTCCAGAATTTCAACAAATGAGACCTTTAATATGTAAATTGCTATCCAATCAAACCAGATGGAGATTTTATTAATATACTTAGTTGGTACATTTAACATGTACATGTACATGGTGTAAATCTGATAAACTGATAATTCGCTTGTACATCATATAATATTGTAATTTATTATACTATATTACATCATATTATACATTATTTTAAAGGCTCGAGGCAAAAAAGAGTGATGTAGACAAAGCTAATGTTGTATTCGATAGAGGCGTTGAAGGACTAGAAAGGGCAAAGGAAGCTGTTGAAAGAGCAAAGGGACCATTGAAGACCGCGTTAAACAAATTAGATGCAGCTCAAAAGAAAGTTGACAACCTTTGTAAGATTACAGATTGTAAGCCTCTGTGCATCCCTGGGATCAAATGCAAGATTTGTTGGAAGAAAGTGTGGTTCATTAAGGTCCCATACCCATGTTGCGATTGGACAAGGTGTATGATCAAAATTCCAAATGTACTTTGTCTCGCTAAAAATGCCGCATGCTGGGTGGTTAGGAAAATTGCTTATGGGACCCTCGAGTTGGCCAAACTTGGTGTGAGGGCCCTTATGCTTCCATTTGACCTTGCAAAGGCAGCTCTTAGTGCGGCCCAGATCATTGTCGACAAAGCCAGGGTTGTATTAGAGGTTGCCAAAGGAATTCTCACTCTTGCTCAGGTTGGGCTGGAAGGAGCTAAAGGCATTCTAAGAGGGGTTGAGCTGGCTCTCGAGGCAGTCAAAATAGGTCAGAATAGGTCTAAAACTCGCTGGCTGGATAATCCAATTTGGTCTGCAGAGTCTGATAGATATTAAGAAATGTGGATTTTCAGTTGAACTATCAACTAAAGATTTGTTCGTCATTGATGTATTTTGTGAAATTAATGCGTTTAGACTTGGGTGGAGGAACATCAAGATAACTATCAATTTCCGCAACTTATTAGAATCACTATGGAATGCAGCGAAATCTGTCATCAATTACCTGACTAGTTTAATTTCCTTCGGACGTAGGAAGCGGGAAATAGAATACAAGCAGACTCATATTGTCCATAGATTGTATCGAAAGTTTCGCGGTGTTGATGATCTATATAAACTTATTTCTGATGGTATAGAAAGTGATATTTTGGCAAACATTGTGAACAGTACGATTGATGCAACAGAAGAATATGAAACACTGAATAAAACTGCAGATGAAGATGAAACAACCATTAGAATCAAAGATTTCAAACGAAAATGTGAAAAATTCAAAAGAATTGAGGAGTTTCTCTCTGGAGCTGCTCAGTCTCTTTTTGAAATCACAAATGAGACAATAGCAGGAATTGATAATTCAAAAGATGATTTAAACAAAAATGATCAGAACTCTTCAGGTATAGGTTCTATTGGGATCAACATGGATGAATTGACAATTGATAGTTTGGGAAAGCTTGGTATCAATGTTACCGATGCCTTTATAAACTATGGTATAACTCCTGAACAATTGATTGCAACAATAAAGGACGCAAATATTGATCAAGATGAGTCCGTGAACCAACTGGGTAGCACGATTAACCAGGCAAACATTGAAAGTAAGAAACAGTTACAAAACGCCAAAGCGTTTCCACTAATGTTGCTGTGGCAAAATGGAATGGACAATGCAACTGCCACCTTTTGGGAAGAAGATAGATGCAGTGGATTTAAAGACTGTATGCTTATTAGTTTCTCTGAACTATTTGACATGTATAACATTACAGATGCACCTGGTGCAGAAGAAATGAAATACTTGACCCTTGAACTGGCTGAATTATTTTCAGAAATCGTTGATAATGAAAATATTTCAAACAATAATGCAATGGAATTGTCGGCTAGGATTTTGGAAGTTCTTCAAATCGCAAAGGAGACAAAAGTATTCTGCGCTACAGTTCCTAAAGTTACAATACCAACTGAAGTTAAAGTTAAACCTGACAAAAAGGTTGTCATTGTGTGTAAGACAACTGGAGACCCTAAACCTGACATATATTGGGAACGTGATGGGGAACGCTATAATGGATCAAATGGTGACACTATCGATACAATTGCAAGCATGGATTCTGAAGGAGAGTATACATGCGTAGCATCTAATCACATTGCTACGGTCAGAGCAAACTTTTATCTTCGTTTAATCGAGTCACCTACCATTGTGGAACATCCTAAATATACGGTGACTACAGTCGGAAATCCTGGAGGTGCAGAATTTCAGTGTGTTGCTAACGGTATACCAACACCAACTATCACATGGAGACGGGTGTTTGGAAGTGGAAAGAGTGAAAAATTAAATTCGACTGGGAAACAATTAGTGATATCATCTCCTCAAATGTCTGACGCGGGCAAGTATTTATGCGTAGCAAACAACAGGCATGGTGGGGTGTGGTCTGACCAAGCAAGACTACGAGTAATGACAGCTAGTGTAGCATTCCCAAGCATAAATCTGAAACTCGGCTATATTGAAGTGAATGAAGGCTATAACAGCACTCACACGGAGTACAAGCGCCCTTTGGTGTACCATAAAAGAAAAAAGCCATACATAATATGGGCAATGAAGAAGATATTACGTGAGACAGAAGAGCCTTCTTTGGTAGTCCTTCATAGTCTTACAAGCAATGGTAATACTGACGGTGGGACTATCAACCTTCACTTGCGTATTGGGAAATACAAAATAATGAACGGAGAAGATTACAATGAGATGCAAGCTGTTTTCAAAACCTGGTCGAATTTGTTAGATAGCATTTTGAAAAGATTTGAGGAATTATCCGAAAATGAGCAGATTTTGACTAAACGGACTGATGTTGAAACATATTATGCTTTGGATCGATCGAAATTCGTTATTACACGAGGGACAAAGTGTCCGTATGGACACGAACTATACCCGGATGACAAATGGAAAATGATATGTGGTTAGTATTCTTTCTTCTCTTGACCATAAATCTTCAGAGCTAAAATCTAAAACACACCTCAGTTATTAATGTATCGAACGTACAGTGGTTCATTTCTGTTGTATAATTTTTTATAAATTGTAAATAATTCCTATTCATATAATATGGGAGGACGGAAAGTATCGCAACAGATTTCAGACAGTCAGATTGGATTTTGGCTATTTTTTGAGGATTTGAACAGGTGCATATGTTAGGCCAATGCATTTCCTCCTGGAAAAGTACTCATAGAGATGATATAATCATTTTGACTTTGAGACAGGGAATGTGCAAACAACCCACACACATGTTTTTTCTGAAACTTTGTCCTGATTTCCAATCCCTTTCATCCCTGCTTTTTCAATATTTTTTGCATCCAACAAAACATGTGGGTGGGTTGTTCGCACCTTCCCTGTCTCAAAGTCCAAATTATTTTATCATCTCTATGATTTCTTTTCCTTTATGTAATGCATTGACTAACATATGCATCTGTTTTAATCCTCAGAAAACAGACAAAATCCAACATATGACTGTCTGAAATATGTTGCTATACTTTCCAAGCTTCTTTCTGTTATATTTCTAGTTCCGTGTCGCAGGGATACGTCGTTTACATTGGTTGGTCAGCATAAATGGCGCTGCATTCGAACACTGAGGAGAATGAAAGCGTAAGTATATAATAATTGAATATTTTACATGTACCTGTATTACCCATGGATAGAAAACTTACTCTAGTATTTGTTCGGGTTGCTCATTCTGTTTATAAACTAGCCTCATTATTGTTAAAAATTTCTGTCTTGTTTATGGAATTATGTATGCTCTAACCGTTGACAAATGTTTGGCAAATAATGAGATTTCTTGTGTTCAATCTCCATGACTGGTGCTCAGCCTCGTTTTGGTCATTTTTATTAAGTGTTATAAGCACCTTTTGGTGAGATGGAATGGTCCGCTTTTCTGTCACACTTCTGTCTACCCCTAATAACAATTTTCTGAGAAGCGAAAACTAGCTAGTGTCTGGACAAACGCTCCTATCATGTTATTGGGGTCTACCCTGGTTTGCTTCATCAGAAAGATAATTGATTATGTGAGGACGAGATGTAGATTACATAATTATTTCTGATATTTATAACTATTGCAAGTAATGTGCTGTGAGATCCAAATGGATACGGAAAACCATGATTAATGCTAGGTTAAATTGCACGTCAAGTTGTGAGGGTGCTACTTGGTTTAATGCAGATGATATCTCATGTATATATTAATAAACAAAGATAGTAAAAGGCCCAAATGCAATTCGAAAACGTATTTATCAAATTATCCATATGTAAACTCCAATTTATGTTATGCCATCTCGATTTTCTCTCGATAATTTATTGAAAACTCCGATTCTTCTTCACCGTTCCGATTTTCTCCTGGTTTTCTTTTGTAAACGCTGATTTCTTCCCGATTTTTATTGTAAACTCCCGATTGTCTCCCGATTATCCTAATCAATCCCAATTTTTTCTCGATTTATTTTTAGTTATCCCGATTTCCACCCGACTTTTTAGATTTATTGATTATTAAGTATTTCTAACTCTGATTTTTCTCCCGGTTTATATTATGACATCCACATTTACTCCCAATTTTTTCAGATAAATCCCGATTTTCTCCCGACTTTTAAAAAATATTGTTTAGCATTTGTAACCCTGATTTTCCTCCCGATTTCTTATATAATATCCCGATTTATACTTAGTTATCCCGACTTTTTAGATTTATTGATTTAGTATTTCAAACTCCGATTTTTCTCCCGATTGTTCTAACTATTTTTAGTTATCCTGATTTTCTCCAGACTTTTTAAAATTATTGTTTAGTATTTGTAATCCCGATTTTCTACCGATTTCCTTTATAATATCCCGATTTCTTCCCGATGTTTTTTTAAATCTCGATTTTCCAAAATAAATACTGATTTTCACTTCGATTCTCTTTCAAAATATTTCGATTTCTCCCGATTTTAATTATTTTTTAGTTGACAGGTATGTGTTTGTATGATTTCAGGAGAAATAAAGTCAACAGCCGTCTGTTGAGCAAGCCGCAAGCTGCAATCAAAGACTACGACATGGCTGAGTCTATATTCGACACTCCTGAGGAGGACTAGGGAATAGAACTATAAATACGTTTAAATACCAATTTATAGAGAGAATCAGATATATCGAACAAAAATTGTTTTTTCAATTTTAGAATATGTTTGACTCATATCATTCCTTGTCATGTCTATTTTCTAAGAATCTCCAAAGTAGGCCTAATACTAAACTAAAGATTTTTTAATAATGTATTATTTTCCGATAAATATGGTTAGCATTTTTATTATTTGGGAGAATTTAAACATTTTTGCTCATTGAAACCTTAATAACTTCACCAATTTATAAAAATATTGCAGATCTTTTGACAGATGTTGTATTTGATATCGTAAGGAATATATTGGTAGGTATATTGTACATGTTACTTGCGTTGTGTAAGCTTATCCCCCTGTAGATCTGGTTCTGCCTTTAATATATTCAAGTTGAAATCTTTCATAATGCTTTTATTCCAGAAAATATGTATCTTTATTGTAAATAAAAATCTTATTTCTAAAAAATTGCGATACATTCGACACGCAAAGGGACATCGATATTCGAGAAGACCTATTTTATCCAAGAATGATAGAAATACACAAAAACACGTATTGTGGAAACTAGAGGATATGGTATACTTGACTTTAACTAAGAGAAAATGACAAAAAGGTGGCAGGGATTATGTCAACTCATAATTTGATGAGATATGTAATCGATGTAGCCAAGATACTTTTGTTAAACATTTACTACAAATTGAAAAGATGGATATTGAAAAGATGGATATTTTAAAAATATTTCTTAAATATTTGTCCAATATCATCATGAACATCAAAATCTTATGTTACGGGATATTTTAGAATAAATATTGCAAAACAAAACTCAATTTTGGTTTTTTAATAATGCATCTTAAATCTGTTTATTTCAATAAAGCACCAGCGTTTTCAATTTCAACACTTGTTTATTTCAATACGGTTTCATTTTTAACTTTGAATTGTGAATATGCACAAATGTTCTTTGGCCTTACTCAATTATGTTAGTCAAATTTAACAAAATATGAAACACACACCATCTCTTGAATTCATGTAATACACAAATCATTGAAATTATATTGATTTTTATCTTGATTGTTATGTTAATATAATATAAAGTTTGCAGAGAAAGATTCATAACCAGGGTTTCCACGCGTAAACATCTTCGTCAGGAGTGGCCCCTTTTCTAACCAACACAGGACGCCCTCTAGGGTCAGGACAAGGATAAGGTTCAGCCTTGGTGTCTTCCTGGAGTTCAGCAAGCCTATCTAGCATCTCTTTCACCTTAAATTAATAAGTGGGTCCACTAATCAACATGGGGGCAAATTGACGATAATTGATATTTTCAAAATCAGTTGTTCTACTAAAGCCTGCGTCGTGTGTGTTGATACCAGTGACATTTGATGAGTGCTATTCTAAATCATCACAACTGGTTGACATAATCATGCGATGTTAACTGAGAATATTGCTTATTATTTCTCAAAAACAGCTTAAATGATGATTTTTTCTCAAAAAACAAAGTTTTGTTTTGTTTGTGGTGATACAAAATCGTATTACAACAAACACAGAGCATCGATTACGTTGACATTTTCCAAACTGCATAAAAAATATGTTTGACATCAGCTCTTAAAAGGGCGATGTTAGACGTGTGTTACCCATGCAATGAAATACGTTTTCTATGCATATACCATTTGTCTAATATTTTGTATCCTCCAACACACTGTTTAAATTAACATATTGCTGATGCATCATTTCTTAAGATTTCGCCAGAAAGTGCCCTTAAGGGTTACCTCTTAAATGACAGACAATGAAAACATCAGACAAGATGGGTTTGCTGTTCAATATTATGTATCCTCCAAACATTAAGATTTCATCAATGCACACAAATGATTTCAAAAAATATTTTTAGAAAGGAGACTAATCCAATTTAGTATTTAAATGATTGTTATATAAAATCTCAATTTTTTAGTAAATTGAATATGTTGGGCATGTGTTGGAGGATACAAAACATATGTACATTATGAAACGTGTTTTTTAATGAGTACTACATATCAAACAACCAGTTTTGAGAGATGGTGGGAAACATATTTTATTAACCAGTTAGAAACTATCGAGGGACTTGATGCATATCTGGTTATGTTGTCCGAGTCTCCATAGCAAAATTTGATTTTTGTCAAAAAACACCATTAAAGCTGTTTCTAAGAAATAATAAGCAATATATCGCATATTCATGGTAAACAGTTATGTTGGCATCACGATAGCACACATATTATATCGTTGATATCAATACACATGGCGCAGGATGTGGTAGAATAGCTGAATCTCATGGATTTCAAAAAATATCAAATATCGTAAATTTGACCATGACTTAAATTAATAAAGCATGGCAAAATAGTTGTATTTCTTAGAATTTCACACGTACGCTTGGTCCATATTATGGAGGTTACCCTGCGTGCAGAATCTAGTTAAACTACACTGCGTGCAGAGTCTAGTTAAACTACACTCTGCCTAGTAGAGACCATATTACAATTTAGTAGCTCCGCCCCCACGACGGGTACCGGTAACAGTTTGGGTAATAAATCACTTTTCTACGCGCTAACCTTTCTTCCTCCAATCAGCGAGCTTGAAGAAACATACGCCAAATGGGTTCTAATTAAATATGCGCATGTCATTGGTCAATTCCGGACTCAACGATGACGTCAGAAGGAATGACCATATATAGAACGTCGGTCAAATTTGGCCGACGAACACTGATTGAGTTCACAGGTTTATTTTAGTTTGAAAGATTGAAGACGAAGCTCTCTTTTAAGAAGTGAAGTCAAACGAATGCAAAGGGTATAGGGAGGTTAACATTAGCGTAAAAATATACGTGTACCTATCCGTATGTATGTTACGGATACGTATTGCAAAATGAGTTTAAGATTAACGTAAAAGGCTACGAAACCGTATGCTATTTATGATAAAATTAACATACTAATTATAGAATGAAAACCATGCGATGGCTTATATGGCATATACAAGTACATGTCATCTCCAAGAACTGTTATATATTTCAAGGAGAGTGTGGTGTAGCTACTGTAGTTGGGACGGGGTGTTGCTAGGGGGTATAGGTAAATGGGTTATTTACGCTAATCTGAAACTCCCTAATAACCCATTTACATATTCCGTAGTTTGTTATTGCACTAAGCGGTATTTTCCCTAAGTTACAGGGTTTGCGATACGTAATTACCTATAAATGGCCGAAGATAGGTAATTCGGAAAACGTATGTTTTTATTCAACATATTATGTCATCTATAGATCAAATATCATTCATTAAACATTAAAATAGTAACAACAAACATTTCTCATTCGATCTGCATAAAAACTAAGTGGTCGAACACATTCATTGATGCGATAAACTATACCATGTGATGATGCATGAAATTGTTGAATTTACACATTCTTCATCAGTTTTGCTTATTGTAAATGTATGAAATCAGCCATTTTCTCGTGGTTTTAATTGTTTTATTTTACTATTTGGTCACTCAGCTCATAACTTGATCATGCTAGAAATTTAACATCTCGCCTTACGCCACTGCCCCATTAGCGGGTCCATAACCAGCACCCCCTCCCACTACAGTAGCTACACCACGCTCTCTCTGAAGTGTATAACAGTTCTTGGAGGTGACATGTACTGGTATATGCCATACAGTACAAGGATGTACCTTTGAAATTAGTTTAGTACTTAAATCATTCTTCTCAAGTGGGTCGCTCTTGATGTTATACAGATGGACATTGCTTGTATCATTGAGGTCTGGCTCTATAGTCTCAAGTTCGGGATATTCTACTGGAGCCATCCATCCGGTGAATCCTCCAATCGAAAAAGTCCCTAAATTCAAATAGGAATTAAATATAAGATGGTGTTCACATTTTAAATCTCAACAGATACGATTGACCTTTTAAGTATCCATTGACAGAACAGTTTTTATATTTGCATTCCTCAATTAGAAATACTAAATATACATCCTCTTTATTCAACTATATCTGCCGTTTAAATCGAAATGGCAAAGACACACTTACTTCCAGTGAACAGTTTATAATCGCCCATTCTTAACACACTATGTATAGAGCTGTCAAATGTATCTCTGTAGAGAGGTTCTCCAAGTTTCGGCATAACTGGATTCATACTGTGTAGGATCTCATCTCTTGGGCTTGTAGTGTCTAAGCTAAATATTTTTAAATTTCCAATATACAGCCAAACCCATATTTTTCATTTGTTTTACTTTAGACACGAATATTATAAAGTATCATGTTTATTTAGATAGGTGGATAGGGGTTCAATTGAAACGACCCAAGTACAAAAACGATATTACCTAATGGATGACCAAATGTCGTGTGAGTCTGCCCCTGAGTCGCCTACATTTGCCCCTGCGAGATCCAGGAATGTTTTATACCAGTCAGCCACGTGATATAATTGTGAATTGGAATTATTATACATCTTTGCTAGATAATAATAAAAAGAGCGAAACAGATGAATCCCAAGTACATCTACATCAATAATCTGCAATTGGCTAAAAGGGTCATTTAAAGCAGATATATAAGTAACCAGGCTTTGGAGATTATTTGTAAAATAAGAATCGACTGAAATACGAGATCACCTTTCTTTGTGACGGGACCAGCCACAATTCCTATTCCCCGAATGCCACCTTCGAAGAAATTAAACGCCGAGCCACGTAATGGCCAGTTGTTGTTACTCTTTGTATGTCCTCCTCTATCTAAATATATAACGGAATGAAGGCCCGTAATTAAGGGGAGAGCGGGTGTAATTATTCCTTCAAAAATCTCCCTTTTCTAGTTTGATACAATTGAACACATATTCAATTGGATAAAGCCCGAAGCAATAAATAACTCCCACCTCGAGACAAAAGCTGGTTACGGGCCTAAACCTCATTTTATTTCGATTTCTTCAAGAACAACTAAGGACATGGATCTCTTGTCACTGGTTTTAAAGCGTTCCGGTGATGTTTAGGTACATACAGGGTGTCCAAAAAACAGGACCGTAATAAAGTTAAATAACTCGGTCAGTTTTGCATATTTTGCCTTAAAATGTCAGAATTATTTAGTTCATTCAATGTGAATTTTGTGAACGTTTGATAATAATCTGCTTATTGAGACAAAAACTACAGTTCCTTACAAAACATGCCACAAATGTGCACCTCTCCTCTCTATGCTCGATTCAATCCGGCGAACAAAGTTATTGATGATTCTCCTACACACATTTCTTTTTGAATGGATAAGTTTATTCCAAGAACAATTGCTACTTGGGCTTATATCCTCCTGATAAAGTGTTACAGTGCCCATTGCATTCTGAACAATGCACTGCCTGGGTGGCAATGAGCAAACATTGAATCATCAGTCCTTTTTGGTTCGAAGATGACATGGGGACATGCTTTCCCATGACCACGGACCGGTATATTCAAGTTCTCACTAAGTTTTAGAGGTTACTAAGCACCAGAAAGGGCACCTAAGGAGATAGGCAATGCTTTGGTGGTCAGTTCATCAGTTGCAGAACTCTGGGCAGCTTTATCCCCAGATCTAAATCTCTCAGATTTTTATCTTTGGGGATTTCTCAAAGCCACTGTGTATACTGGCAGGTCCCTAACAATCTTAAGAGGGCAATGACTACCCCAATATGTACATCCACATTGATGTGTATAGGTCAGGGTCATTAACAACTTTGTTCGCAGGATTCATTTGTGCATAGATGGCCACTTTGAGCATGTTTTGTAAGGTACTGTAGTTTTTGACACAATAGACAGATTATCGTGAAACTTTCACAACAAAATTCTCAATGAATGAACTAAATAATTCTTAAATTTCAAAAGCAAAATTGACCGAATTATCCAACTTTCTTACGATCAAGTTTTTCGACACCCTGTATAACTGCTTATCGAACGACACCCTGTATAACTGCTTATCGAACGACACCCTGTATAACTGCTTATCGAAGCTAAACAGCGTGATGTAACATAAGGAAACGAATTCTTATACTTATGTGCGAAATATATCTACCATTTGTAAATAAGAGGACAGTGTCTTCCCACATTCCTGTCTCCTTGAGCTTTTGGATGATCTTGCCTACTCCTGTATCAATCGCATTAACCATTGCTACAATAGATGTAAATTTTTGAAATATCAAAAAGTATCAAAACTTATAAGTCATGGAAAATATTAAGAGAGAAGTCGGTTATAAGTAAACATAGTCACAATATCCCTAAGATAGATAGATCTTTAAGCTATAACGAAAAAGTGCCACCCCCCTCCCCCTTCCTCATTATTCAAGAGCCATTATTACAATCCAGAAATGCTGGTAATGGGATATTTTAGTCGTACCGAAGTCAAAACAATATATCTTGAAGAATAAGTAAAAAAGTATACCCTACCAATATTCTAATACAAATAGTCGTGGATACTAATTACTTATGGAGCATACCAGTCTAAAATGCTGTGATGTGTGTGACACGGGGCCCGGTTAAAAGAAATTATGGTTCCCTTTTCTTACGGACCTTACTGGCCCTGACTGTGTATAAATAATAATGAAAATATTTGTAATTAGGTCACCATATAAATCAATAGAGAGTAGGACCAAAAGTTGATAGGACCACCTACCCTTTTACACCTGTCTCAAAATCCAGAGGTCTCAAAGTAACAAAGGGTCCAACAAGATGTTTTTGCATCAGTTTCAAGGAAGGAAACTTCATCAAATAAAGCGTATATAGTAATGAAAAACACGAATGAAAGTCGGTTCATACCTGCCACATTTTTCCTTGGAATATTTTCAACTCCTAGTTTACCATCGGGTATTTGTGTTATTTTATTGCGATATTCCCCTGTGGCATCCGGAGACTTTGTGTCGTAGGCAATTGTCATAAACATGCGCTAAAAAACATATTAGGGTAACTAACATATAATGTAAAAACAAAGATGGAGGATTAACAATAATGATTTTGTTTTATTTCGGAAACCTTGCACATAATGAAAAAATCAAATTTTGCACAGAGCTGATTTCCATGGACTTCTCGGGAAGAACCATAGATGCAGCAAAAAACTTGATCTAAAATACCCCGCACTACATTTAATTAATCTGTGTTCGAACAATTCATGGAAATAAACCTACACGCTCATGATTGTGGTTTTCGATCGTCTCAGTTGCCTTTTTTGTCAATAAGTCTGCTCCGAATTCACCATATGAGTCGAGCACTGGTGCCTCGTTTTCATTCAGATCGATTCCTTTAAAACTTGTTGTTGTCACGGATCAGAAATTATGGTAATGTGCAAATGAAGTGATATTCTTGACACTATGTGTGGTAGAGACAGATTTCGACCAAATTAGAAAATATTAATTAACATTCTATACGACATTTTACATATTTTATATTTTATTTAATCTTAGATAATTACCACTGTAGTGAAAATCTTTCGACCAGCATCTGCCCGCACAATCCCTAATCTTTCTACCTCTATAAAGGCAGTATGCTTTCCCAATCGTAGTTGCATTCCCTTTTCGTACGCACCCTTCCAGAATGTGGTTAAAGTGATCTTTCCATTCTCCGGTATAGCTCCCTGAATGTACCAAACCAAAGTTGACAAGGCTAGAAATGAGAGATACCAAACAAACACAATACAGGTTATCACAACTGCAATGATGCAATGGCAAGATTGAACGTCTAAATTAAAAAGATCTTGAATATACGCACGTACACAACTTGATCCCGAGCTATATAAAACATTACCATAGAAATAATCAAATCCTCGACTTCTTGGCAAACACGATGGCTTTGAATACCCCATATGCCATTTTCCAATGAAGTACGTTGAGTATCCGGCATTTTGTAATCTTTCGGGAAGGTTGAGGTCCCTATGGGGGATACAGTGTTCCGTCGCCACAGGGATGATTGACATCGCGCCAGTGTTTGGCTGTACAATTGCAATAAATAGAAATTGTTGATGTATTCATTGATGTATCCAGAATACTAATATCAAACTTTCACATTCATCTGTACTATTTAATTCTACTTTTTTATAACCATTGGTCGAAGAGATATTTAGCTCTCTCCGTGGTATTACCTCGACACACAGTAATGAATAGACAACTGTACACTAACCTGATATCGCCCCGTCATTAGACTGGCTCTAAATGCTGTTGGCATTGCATCTACGTAATAATTATCCAGTCGAATGCCCTCCTTTGAAAGTTCATCCAGAATAGGAGTCAGAAATTTAGAATTCCTGAAGCCAATGTCATTGTAGCCGAGTGCATCAGCAATTATGAGGACAATATGTGGCTTCAAGGCATCCTCTGAAAACAAAAAGATGGTTTAAAAATTAGAAGACTAGTACTTTGTGTTTCATTCCAATGTTATAGAAACAAGGTAAAGAGTCAGTATTCTGATCGTCGACACGTTTTTTAAATTATAATTTTAAATAATTTTGAAAAACATGAAACATATTATACTTTACAATGAAACGCATGTGTTATTTCAGTAAAACAAACAACAAACATTTTATATTTTGGAAAACATTTTGTATTAGCTGATAGCTATTAATGTAATCCAATAAATATGTATAACACAAAAAAAATTCAGTAAAATAAGCAAGTGTATGTCACTACAATACACGGGAACACTATTCAATACGTTCACGTAATTCTAAAGTGCGGCTCTCAGACATTTCAAAGTGTGATTATCCAATTTTTATTTATTTACATTCCTTTCCAAAAGGAGCAAACCAAACATACAAGGTATTAAAAATATTAAACCGAGAATTCTAAAAATATATTTACCTTTCCCTTTGCTTTGGTTTGAAGCACATTTATCAACCATCGATTTATTTTCCTGGAGGTGTTGCTTTGTCATTTCTGATTGCATCATGGAGATTTTACCTGAGAGTTCACTTACTTCGTCCCTCATTTCAGATATGACAGCGGTAATTTTACCAAATTCATTTTCCATGCTAGAAATTTTCCCAGATATCTCATTAGTTAGCCTTTCTAGATCTCCTCTCTTGCATATGGTATTCTTACATGTTTGACATTTTGTCAAACCTACAATAGCATTAATTCAATATTAACATCTTTTCCCTTTAAAATAAACAGGGAATAGAATTGAATTGATATTCAAAAATCCCATATCAGAACTATTCTCTCGATTTTTACGTTTTTCGATCTATTTCAAAACGTGATAATAAAGTTGAAAATGTTATATGATAAATTAAATTGTAGTATTTTATGTTACCATCACTGGGTTACAAAATACAGAAATAAAATAAATAAGTTTCAGGTCTAGTTTTCAGACAGTAATTCCTCGGCTAATGCCATATCTTCCCTCGGAATAAAATTCATATTCCATCCTTCCCATTAAATAACCTCTACATATTGATCTAAAATCATGGACTAGTGCTATCTATGGCACTTAAAAGTCCAGAGAAAGCAATTGGACCTATGGGAGTTAAGGTGAATTGGATGAAAATGGAATTCTTTCAAAGAATTATACAACAAGTGTCTTCGTAAACAGTAGGAAATGCATAGAACATATAGACAGTGATTTAACGTCAAGGATAGACTACCAGTATTCTTCTTGTTTGACTGGCATGGAACAATGGGAGTAATATAATAAAGATGTCCATCTCCAGACCAATAAGTAAGTCGGTAGGACGTGCACATTGTAGTAATATTATATCCAAATCGGTCCAAGTCAGTCAAAAGATCTAAAAGATCGCGAATTAATGCTAGGGGTCAACCCCTCTTGGTTGTTTCTTACCTAACAAAAATGCCGTCGCCATCAGTAGTCCCAAATTCAAGCCACATTCTCGATTCATACTAATTACCAATTGATACATGCACAAGCATGTGTCTCATATATTCCTAGTATAATGAACTAATTGGCCTCAGTGTATCACGAGCATTCTGAAGCTGTTTATACACCTTTCGTGTATTGATATCATGTTTATGTTCAAGCATTTAAATGTCAGGGATAAATAAATAAAAAAGCATATACACATACAGCATGGCCGTCAGATGGGGGGGTGCGATGGGTGCGACCGCACCCCCCTCTGACACCCCCCCTCCAGGGTGAAAAAGATTTTTTTTCTACTTTTTTTCCATTGACTCATACACTTTGAAAGTGCCCAGAAAGCACCAAATAGCATCTTGAAATCGTTAAATTTTCTTGGGGGAGTGGGCCACACCTCACACCCCCACAAAAACAATTGAAAAGTTCTGAATTTATTTTATGTATTGTCTCAAGACACTTTTAAAGTGCCCAGACATCATCAAATAGCTCCTTGATATAGTCAATGTTTCTGGGGGACTAACACTTGCTCCCCCTCTGGCATCCTCACCCCACCTCCCAATCGGGCACCCCCTCCGCTTAGACACACCCCCCCCCCAAAAAAAAATTTAAAAAAATTATGATTTTTTTCTTATCTTTTTTATTGACTCATACACTTTGAAAGTGTCCAGAAAGCACCAAATAGCATCTTAAAATTGTAAAATTTTCTAGGGGGAGTGGAACAATTGAAAAGTTCTGAATTTATTTTATGTATTGTCTCAGACACTTTTAAAGTGCCCAGACACCATCAAATAGCTCCTTGATATAGTCAATGTTTCTGGGGGACTAACACTTGCTCCCCCTCGGGCACCCCCCCCCCCTTGGACCCCCCTCAAAAAAATATATAATATGATTTTTTCTCTTTTTTTTATTGACTCATACAATTTGAAAGTGTCCAGAAAGCACCAAATAACATCTTTAAATTGTACAATTTTCTAGGGGGAGTGGGCCACCCCTCACACCCCCACAAAACAATTGAAAAGATCTGAATTTATTTTATGTGTTGCCTCAGACACTTTTAAAGTGCCAAGACATCATCAAATAGCTCCTTGATATAGTCAACGTTTCTGGGGGACTAACACATGCTCCCCCTCTGTCATCCTCACCCCCCCCCCCCCTCCCTCCCCCCAAAAAAAAGAAAATAGAAAAAAATATGGTTTAATCTTTTTTATTGACTCATACACTTTAAAAGTGCCCAGAAAGCACAAAATAGCATCTTAAAATTGTAAAACTTTCTAAAGAAGTAGGCCACCCCTCACATCCCCCACAAAACAATTGACAAAAGTTCCCAACCCTACCCTCCCCCCTTTGCCCCCCCCCCCTTGACACCCCCAAAATTTGAAAAAAGTGTGATTGTTGTTCATTTTTATTGACTCGTACACTTTAAAAGTGCTCAGAAAGCACCAAATATATGAATTATATGAAGAATATGAAAAATATGAATTTCATGTATTATCTCAGAGTCACTTTTAAAGTGCCCAGACATCATCAAATAGCACATTGAAATGGTCAATGTTTCTGAGGGAAAACCCCTTGCTCCCCCTCTGGCATCCCCACCCCACCTCACCCTTTTATCCTTTTATGACTCATACACTTTGAAAGCACTCAGAAAGCACCAAATAGCATCTCAAAAGTGTAAAATTTTCTAGGTGGAGGGGCTCCTTGCATCCCCCCACCAAAAACAATTGGGAATGTTTGGAAGTTGCATTTGTTATTTTAATTACACTTTAAAAGTGCCCAGAAATCACCAAGTGACATAATGAAATCATAAATAATGCTGACACCGCATCCCAAAAACTAAAGCATTCATTTACTCAAACATATTAAAAGTGCTCATAATTAACCAGACAGCATCTTGAATTAGTAAAATTTTCCTGTGCTGCCCACTAGCTCCTCAAAGAAGAAAAAAATCAGAATTTCTTTAAAGATTCTCGCAATCTTTATCCAATCAGCGTTTGCGAGTGTGTCGGCTCACGTATAAAAGGCGAATCCAACTCAAATCCATGCAGGGGTGTATGAGGTACTCGAATAGGAAAGAGCTCGTGAAATCTGAATTTATATGCACATGGTCAATGTTTACACATGTTTGGAGTTATTGAAGAAAATATGATATGGGTGTGGTTCCGAATTAGAAGTCATTGCTGGAAAATATGATTTTAATACGTGAAATTATTTCTATAAATATAGCACTAAAAATAACAGTATAGACATGAAGTACATGTATGATTGTGTTCAGAAATGTTTGAAACCCTTACGGAAAATTCTGTCTGCATTTTGTCACCATTGCTCTTTCTTCCAGCATTCTAGTGCTGTTTGAATGAATATATTAATTAATGTATTTCTAACTAAAACATATCACTTTTTTTTATAAACCACAAACATTTAGATCATAAAAACATTATTCAATGCTTGAGTGAGCACGATATGCAAGGGTTACTAAGTTGACACAGTAAATGACCACTGGTATTGTGTTAGTCCATGCACACAGCGTACACCCCTCACTTTCATAGTGAAGTGACTAATTGGTTTATGTTTACGTTTTAATGTGTTTTGGGTTCCTTGTTACAGCAAGGGGGGCCAGTAAAGTAGACTAACATGTTTGCATGGCAAATTTTGATCGAATATGTGAGACACTTTAAATTGATTCTATTGCCTTCTAGCACACCCTCCCTATTCCAATGCTTCTCCAAATTGCTCATACTAAAAACAATATGAAAACAATAGAATACTACAAAATAGGCTGAGTGACCTTAATATAGAGAGTAACTGACCCCCCAACCCCCCCCCCCCCCCCCCCCCCCCCTCTGACTTACGCGATTTTATTTACGCGGAAAAAATGACAATTTTATTTTCTCTTTATTAAAAACCGCACCCCCTTCGAGAAAAGTGTCTTACGGGCCTGATACATATCGCAGGGGAATGTGCAATTTATAATTACAAATCAATCATAAGACCTATTAGATAGGAGTTTAAGTAGTGCAACCCGAAATCGATGCTTAAAGACATAGATGTAGATATTACACTGTAAAAATGAGTTAAATGTATTTAATATCTAGAAAACAGCAATTCCAAAAAGTAACAAATCCCGCCGAACAGAATATGTTTTGATAGATAGGGCCATCTTGAAAATTCCCTCTTGAATAGAGCTCCTTTGTCCCTAAATATCAGCATAGAAAATTTTAATCAAATCCGTCAACTGGTATTTGAGCTGTCAATATAACGTTGTCGCGAAAATGGCGGCTTTTTTAATTCAGCTGTCTTCTGAAAATTTCTTCTCAAGCAGAGCTCTTTTGTTTCCAGGGATAAGTATACAAACTTTGAACCAAATCCATCCACTGGTATTTGTGTTATCAATGATTACACTTTACGACAAATGGCACCAAATCCGGCCGCTGAAATTTGAGTTATCTAAGATTACGTTTTTCCGAAAAATGGCAGCCATTTTGAAGTTCAGTATCTATCCTGAAAATTTCTTCTTGAACAAAGCTCCTTGTCTCTAGGCATCAGCATATTAAATTTGAACAAAATCCGTCAACTAATATTCGAGTTATAAATATTAAATTTTTAAAAAAAAATGGCGGTCATTTTGGATTGAGCATACATGTTGAAATTCCTTCTCGATCAGAGGTCGAACACCCATAAGGCATAAACCTATTAAATGAAGTCCGTCAACTGGTATTTGAGGTATCACCTGGAAACTCGAACGGATGGGCTCCTCTATATCCCCTCGTCACGAAAAGACAATTCTAAAAAATGTTACGGCTCAAAATTGTGAAGTTTTTACTGAAAATTGCTCGTGCCTTGATACATACACGTTAAATGTATTAGTCATATATGGTATGAACGTTAACATTTCACTCCCTATCACACCAAACTAGATCTCGGCCGTTATTTCGAACCCTACCAAAAAGTCGTAAAACGTCCATCGCATTCGCAGTTCGTTCAGAACATATTTTTAGCATGGAGGACTTACCCGTTCGAGTACATTCATGAAGTTTGTATAGACCCCAAACGGTTCTAAGTACGTCCAATCCGTTCGTACACAGTTTAATCCCGTTGAGAACGTAGTGAGAACTAGTTTGGTGTGAAAGTAGGGTATATTAGAGAATATAGATTATACTGTAACGAACCAGAGGTCACGTTCGGTATTTTAACGCTACCATTTAATTATAGTAACACCTTCTATAACAGGACGGGTCCGTTTCAGTGGTGGCAGCGGTGGGATACCAACGTGACCTCTGGTTCGTTACAGTATACAAAAGTGTTATCCACACAGGAAATGAACTACATCGTTGGAATAGAACCCACCAAGGATGACGAGACGGCAGCAGATTTCTGGAAGCAGATTGTAGACATCCCGTTATCCCCGGCCATGATGTCTCCTACGTTGAACACGCCGAAGTACGACGTCGACCTAGGAACACCCCCCTCCCCCACCAATCTATGACTGCGTCCCAGACTGTCCTTGCGAGACCCCTGAAGAAGCCAGCGCCACCCGCGGCAACAGCGACATCAGAGGAGGGATTGGTTGCGTCACACGCGACAATGCCATCCCTGCGTCTCGAAGACTGCATCCCACGTCCCCCGAAGGAGCCAGCACCACCCGCGGCAACAGTGACTTCCGAGGAGGGATTGGTTGCGTCACGCGCGACAACACCGTCCCTGTGTCACCCCATCATAACTCAAGCCATCCAGTCCATGGCACCCGGGGAGTTACAGGCCCTTGAAACTGCAATAGGGACCGCCTGTAGAGAAAATGTGATAGCTTCTCTACAAGGACTACTGGATGATTGGGGTCTCAAGATCGTATCTAAAGGAGATCAATCTCCAGCAGAGCGTCCCCGCTCACCGTCCCCTGAGCCGGAACCAGCCATGCCGGGCGAGGTTACACCCCCTCACGAGGAGCCATTTCCACCACCACCAAAACCACCTAAGAAGAGGAAAGCGATTCTAACGGTGGCGCAGAACATCAAAAGATCAAAATACATTATCCCCAGAAAGAGGTTGTCGCTAGAAACCAGACTCCAAAAAGAGTTTGGGATTTCACCCATCAAGGACGATAAATACTCGGACGTAGCAGAGAAGAGACTCACCTTGGAGATAGGGTCAAGTCCGACATTTGACCTGAATCTCCAAGAGTCACAACTCACCCCTCCCACAAGAGAAGAGGTCCAAGCAGCGGCTTGGAAGCCATTCAGATAGACTTATATGTGATGTGTAATCAACTAGTGACATTTGTTAAACTTCAACCAATATCTGAGACAGTGATACAGAGACATTTTATATTTTCATTTTTGCAGTTTTACAGCCAAGCTTTAACAACATTTTTATATACCTGTATTTATATTGTATGAACCTTTTTATGTATGGTACTATTTGTGAGTCCAGACTTCTGCTGGACATTTTTATTTTTATGTAACGGCCATTATGGGTCTCCATTCCATTTTTTGTCATTTCTAACTTTGTGAAGTTAAAGTGGCATCTGACCGTGGTAGGTCAGGTTTTCAAAAGGGGGGTTGATGTAACGAACCAGAGGTCACGTTCGGTATTTTAACGCTACCATTTAATTATAGTAACACCTTCTATAACAGGACGGGTCCGTTTTAATACGTTAGCGTTTTATTGCTCATTCAGTACATACAACCTGGACATACTATGATGAAGTTCCCTAACCCCACTATCACATCAAACTAGTTCTTACCCGTTCTTGCCAGTCCTACGAAAACGTCGTAAAACGGGCTCAATCTGGCTTTGGTCGGGAAATATGTCTGAAATAATTAGCTTCTTCGTTCTTAAACAGTCTTCAATACGTCCATCTCGTTCGTCGCAGTTCGTTCAGGTCGCACCACGTCGGTGTGCAATGTAGTAGAACGCGTCCCTTAGTCTAGAAGGTCAACATGACCTGATTACAGAACGGTATGGTCGCCATCGAATTTTGAATCGATTCAAAGTTCTAAAATCACATTCCCGTCTGAGAACGATCATAAAGTTCGTAAATAGACCTTAGAAAGTTGCAGCTATGTTCATTCCGTTCGCACACAGTTTAAAACCAGTTTTGAAGAACACAGTGGCAACTTGTTTGGTGTGATAGCTATATTTTTGCTAACTCGTTCATAAGCAGTGTTAAATACGTTCTTAATCAGTTTAAACCCGTTTGCAATTAGTTCTACCTCGTTCTCAACACGTCCTCAGACAGTTCAACTCGTTGTTAAAACGTCCCTAGTAGGATTGAAGTACGACGGTTCCGTTCGTAGTACGTCCAGGTCGTGGTTTGTACGTTGTCACTCGTTCTAATTGCAGAACGTGACGACCACGAGAACATTTTGAGCATTGTCTAGGTTCTAGAGGACCTACCCGTCCGAGAACGTTCGATGACGTTTCTAAATAGATCCCAAACGGTTCTTAGTAGGTCCAGTCCGTTCGTACACAGTTGAAGCCCGTTTTCGAGAACGTAGTGAGAACTAGTTTGGTGTGATAGTAGGGTTACTAGTTACTTTTGAATAACATCAAAATAACAAAATGGAGAAACTGCTTGTGTTCGAGCTCTAAGATCTTTGTTTTCTTAATTTAAACCTACTTTTAAATGCAGGTGACAAACAAAAGCTATTGAATACATTATGAATGTAAAGTATAATGAATGTGTTTGCACTATCAATTAGACTGTTGACATAACGTGCTTTCATCCCTAATTATTATATCATTGGCAATTATCAATACACCACTGAATTTATTTTCGGCTCTGATACGCGGGTGTCTAAGTTCAACCTTGTTTTTTCTTCATTCAAGGTTCACACTAACCATTTTACTCTGGAGCTAGTATTTTTCTTTGTTTTGCACGGAGCTTATCTCGCTTTTGCTTCTGCTACATACCCAACATGTCCAGGTAAGATGTTGTTCGAGAGTAAACAACAAACTATAGATAAAAATTATTTACTATTACTCTATTTACGTACATGTAAGAGTGATCAACATAATATGCCAAAACTAAACTTAAGATCTAATCCTTATTTTTGGACAAACAAGGTACATGGTCCTTGATCAGTCATAACAATATTTTGTATAATATTACCAAACTCTTGGAGGCATATGGGGTAAATATTGTAAATAACTAATCATGGTGGAAATTTTTTTAAAAAAATAGATGAGAATAATGTAAAAAAGTTAGCAATGGTTAAAAACATTGTTTCACAAACTCACTAATGTGACTTTTTCTTTTTTTTCTTCTTTTTTTTATTGAATCAAACATAAAATAATACATTAAACAAGGCAATGATAAAATATTAAACCACTTTCACACCACCTCCATTCATTCAGACATTCGCAACAGTCATACCCAGAAGTTCTGGTATATACATAAACATGGTATTTTCAAATTGAGTCACGTCCAAGTTGGGATTTACCTCATTAAATTGTTTTGCATATATATAATATTTGATTGCTAGTGATAGCCTGTTTAGCAAAGTGTTTTCATTATTTACAGATCTTCCGAACACCATATCATCTTACATCTTACATCTATCCTAGGGGAAGAAGGTTGGATCCTGTATAATCCCCATCTTTTTATCGGTCATTGTTTGTATTTGTTACTTGTTATTTGTTGTGCGATGCGCCAAATAAATAGTTCAGAAGTTGTATTGTTCATTTCTAATAAAAATTAAGATTTACATTGAATAATTTCCCCAAATTCTCTTTAATAGCTTTCAAAAAAATCTGAACCCGCCTACATTCCCAAAACTTGTGCTTTAAAGTGTCTCTTAATGGACAGTAACTACATCTAGCATCCTGTTTAATTCCAATCTGCGTTAAGTAAGCATTTGTGGTACAAATACCATGTAGAATCTTAAATTGAAGTTGTCGAATTTTATTTTGTTTCGTGCAGCTATAAGCCATTTTAAAATAATCTATTCTTCCTAACTCACGATCATGTTCATTTTTATATAGTGGTTCCAAATATTTGTTTCTATTTAATATTTTTTGAATTGACTTCACTGTTAAACCATTCAATGACACTGGTTTTTCGCCAAGTGTTAAATGCACAAGATCCGTTTGTAGGCTCGGTTCAAAAACTGAAGTTAAGTCTCGCTTCAATAAACGTTTCCACTCCTTCGGTACAGCTGATATTATAGCATAATAATCAATAAAATTAATTTGTACGTTGTATTTTGCCTTAAAATCATAATACTGTAAAAAATGTCCCTGGTCATTTAGGAGGTCATTTACGTAAACGACCCCATTATCCATAAGATGCTTATTTATGACCTCTTTGTTATTAATTAGGACAAATCTATTATTCCAGAGTATTTCACTTTTAACTTCAGAACTAGTTCTTGGAGCTTGCATATTCCTTATATCAGAGTAAATTTGTAAAATATTTGAGTAAAATTCTGGCACGTCGTGGGCTATTGTTTTAATATCAAAATTACATTGTATAAAGAACTTAATTCCCCCAAGCGGTTTAAAGTACAATTCTGGAATATATTTCCAATGACTTTGTCGAGGTTCGATTAATCTTTTTAGCCATATCAGTTTAAGTGCTTTTTCCATTGAAAACATGTCAATCATTCTTAGACCACCCTCGTCGTAATCACCAATTAAAGTTCGTCTCTTAACCTTTTCCGTTTTTCCACCCCATAGGAATGAATAAATTATCTGTTGTGCCTTTGTTAATATATCATTTGGGGTATTTGTCATTGACATGGAATATACCAGTTTAGAAATACCAAGCGTTTTGATTATCAGAACTCGACCATATAAAGTTAAATTTCTTCTTGACCACATTTTCAATACTTTTTGAAGCGAGTCTAATTTCTTCTCAAAGTTAACAAAATCATTTGATTTCTTATTATATGAGACACAAATTCCCAGAAATTTACTTGGATCTTTAACCCATTTTAAACCGTATAACTTATCCTCAGTTTTAGATCTTTCTGAACCAATATACATACATTCTGTCTTTTCTTTGTTAATACATAATCCAGAAATATCTTTAAATTCATCAAAAATGTTTAAGCCAGTTTAAGAGATTCTTTGCTATCTACTGTCAGTGTTGTATCGTCAGCAAATAACTCGATCTTTTGCTCATTATTTCCCAAGCGGATCCCTTTAATAGTCTGATCTTGTCTAATTCTAATTGCCAGAACTTCTATCACTAAGATAAATGTCAAACAACTCAAGGGGTCCCCCTGCCTACATGATCTTTTAATATCGAACCAGCCAGTTGATCTATTATTATTCAAAACACAACTCTTTATATCTGTATAGAATAATTTTACCCATTTAATTAGTGTGTCCCCGAAATTAAAAAGTCTCAACACATGTTCTATATACTCGAATTCAACACTATCGTAGGCTTTAAAAAAATCGACCATGCAAATAATGCCTGGAATGCACTTTTTCTTAGAATATTCAAGAATATCCTCTAGGTACCGTATGTTTTCTTTTAAAAGTCCGTCTCAAACTGGTCATAACTAACAGGTTTGAAATAAACATTAACACACTGACAGAAAAGTATGGTAAGCCCAAAACCAGCCTAAAACACGATTTTTAGATGATTTACCCCTTAAGTAGCAGTGAAATTAAGAATAGGATGTAACCATTTTGCTCAAGATACACATTTTTATATTACACAGGTCTCATCTGACATAAATTTTGATATGAATAGCTAAGTGTAGGATGTATACCATATTTATGCTTGATTGAGAAAGGCTAAGGGTTGTAATTATTTTACAATTTGAAGTTTATTGTCATATATGTCACCCCTACCCCTAATTTTGAACTGAAAAGGAACTTCTGAATCTGAATCTGAAGGATATTACCTCAACTTCCATCACAAAATGGTATCATTAATCAGACTGTTATTTTTTTCTAATAACTGATATTTTTCACGAAGTTTTTTTGGATTGAAACCTTTTTAAAACGGGGTATTCCTCCTAACTTAACTAACAGTTTGATTTCATCTCGATCACAAGATCCCCTTATTGAGTACGTAGCTGGAATCTTGGATTTCCCATATTTATTATGTCAATTTATGGTAAAACGTCACACTCACAATTCTGGGAGTTGTTCTATTCCATCCTTTCTAACTTTTTACCATATTATCGAAATGTTTTGAAATTCTCTCCATTTGGTCAAAGTATACATACAATAAACCTCTGGATGTTTGGTATGATAATAATAGAAAGAATATATATGATTGATAAGGACAATGCACCTTTTTTCTTTGCGCTAATATGTCTTATTTTGAAAAGCTTATTTTTGTTTCTCAATTAAATATGGGTACTTCAGGTGACTGTTACCATGGTGACTACATACCAGCAACGAGGCGGCAAGATATTCTGTATGGGAACCCATCATGCCCAGCGCTTGATATAACTGAAGCTGTATACAACACGAGTCAGTTATGTTTTGCAAAGGCGTGTGAACTTGGAGGAAATGTAATACAACACAACTATCGGGGAAATAACACAAATTTTTGTGGAATATATAAATGCGAGTCGAATGTGAATGGCACTAACTGGAACTATGACTGGGTAATGGATGAAGATGTGAAGGGACATATTTCTGCACGACCTCATCCGTATATACCAAAGTGCCATAGTTCCTATTTCATGAGCAGGGCCGTCAGATGGGGGGGGGGTGCGATGGGTGCGACCGCACCCCCCTTTGTTACCCCCCAAAATAAATATGAAAAAAAAAATTAGAAAAATTATTTTTTTTGTAATTTTTTTTCATTGACTCATACACTTTGAAAGTACCCAGAAAGCACCAAATAGCATCTTAAAATTGTAAAATTTTCTAGGGGTATTGGCCGCCCCTCACACACCCCACAAAACAATGAAAAAGTTTTTATTTTAGTGTTTTGTCTCAGACACTTTTAAAGTGCCCAGACATCATCAAATAGCTCCTTGATATAGTTAGTGTTTCTGGGGGACTTGCTCCCCCTCTTGCATCTTGCACTTGCATAACCCCCCCCCCCCTCTGGCGCCTCCCTTGACCCCCCCCCATCCAAAAAAATGTGATTTTCTCAAAATCTTTAATTGACTCATACAATTTGAAAATGCCCAGAAAGCACCAAATAGCGTCGTAAAATTGTAAAATTTTTTAGGGGGAGGGGACCACACCCCAAACAAAACAATGGAAAAGTTCTGAATTTGTTTTATGTATTGTCTCAGACACTTTTAAATTGCCCAGACATCATCAAATAGCTCCTTGATAAAGTTAATGATTCTGGAAGACTAACACTTACTCGCCTTCTGGCATCCCCATTCCACCTCCCCCTCTGGCAGCCCCCCCCCCCCTTAACACCCCCCTCCCCCCAAAAAAACTTGAGATTTTTCAAATTTTTTTATTGACTCATACAATTTTGAAAGTGCCCAGAAAGCACCAAATAGCATCTTAAAATTGTAAAATTTTCTTGGGAAATATGCGCTTTTAGGCACAGACACTTTTAAAGTGCCCAAACTTCATCAAATAGCACCTTGATATTGTAAATTTTGATATGGGGGACAAACACTTGCTTCCCCTCTGGCACCCCAGCCCCACCTCCCCCTCTGACACCCCTCCTCCCCTTTGACACCCCCAAAATTTGAAAAAATTGTGATTGTTTTTCAATGTTTTTATTGACTAATACCTTTAAAAGTGCCCAGAAGCACCAAATATCATCTTTAAATTGTAAAATTTTCAAGGAGAGTTAGCCACCCCTCACATCCCCCACAAAACAAAATAAATATTCTGAATCTCATGTATTGTCTCAGACATTTTTTAAGTTCCCAGACATCATCAAATAGCATCTTGATATGGTCAATGTTTCTGGGGGACAACCCCTTGCTCCCCTACTGGCACCCCGCCCCACTTCACCCTCTCATCCTCTTTGACAACCCCAAAAGAATTTGAAAAAAATTCTTATTGGATCATAACGCACAGGCGTACCAGATGGTTGCAAATTTGCTCCAAATACAAGCAAATTTCAAAATTTTCCTGGGGGAGAACCCCCAGACCCCCTGAATGCTCAGTTTTTTGATCACTCAACTCTTATTCTTGTGGTGGTGGCGTACTACTTAGAAACTTACACTTTGAAAGTGCCCAGAAAGCACCAAATAGCATCTCAAAACTGTAAAATTTTCTAGGGGGAGTGGACCACTCCTCACACCCCCCACAAAACAATTGGAACGTTTGGAAGTTGCATTTGTTAATTCCAAACCAATATAGGGAGTAACTGACCCCCCCCCCCCCCCGCCTCTGTCTTACGCGATTTGATTTACGCGGCAAAAAAAATGACAATTTTATATTTTCTTTAGTAAGCTAAAAACCGCACCCCCCTTGGAAAAAAGTGTCTTACGGGCCTGATGAGAAGATGGTTTCCATTATCATTCCTCTCTCGATGCACAACTATGAGTATAACGAATGTTACTGACCTGCGTGAATGCATGTCTACTGCGTGTAACAACATGGCAAATGTTATCAACTTTTATCCAAATGAATTACCAAAGTTGTGTGACACGAGGTATTGTAATTGGGAGTTCGATGATTACTTTTTTAACATTGGCAATTCGACTGAACAAGTAATGATCTATAGCCTTTCTCATCTTGCCTTACATTGCGACATTTACAGACAGTTGGAAACGGTACCAGTACGACTTCCATTTGGACCAGTCTGTTTTAACACACCTCTTTGTGGACAAGGCTCCGTTGAAGAGGTATTCTGTAAAGCTGGCTCTAATATTGTGACATATTTATCTAACTCAAGTAATTCTTCCGTGGCCTATACATGTCCCAGTAACTACGAAGGAACTGGATGGGAATACAGGTTTGAGCATGATGTTTGTTTAGATGAAGAAACTCACTCTGAGTGGCTCATTCAGCCCTTCCCAGGAACTCCAGTCTGCAACTCTTCCTTATTCGTTATAAAAAGACTTTATTTCCAATGCTTTATGTCGACGTGCAATCGATCAGTTGAGACTTACCAGGTTAGGGACTTGAGACAATGTATGTTATATGCCTGTATAAATGGAGCCAATGTCATCAACTACTATAGTAATGGGGAGACGCGGTTTGTGAATTGTGATCTGAGATATTGTAATCCTGTTGGAAACGGTGAATATGATTTAAAATTGGCAAACAGGGCTGCTCCGGGATATGATATTTATGCACTCTTTTATCACGAAGCATCCCCAACGACGGCACCAACAAAAATGACATCTGTTCCAAGAACCGAAGCATCAACATCGATAATTTCAACTGCAATCACTGAAACTATTAAATTAAACACGACAACATCTTCTACTACCAGAACAGAGGCCGAAGTATCAACGATTTCATCTGCAATCACTGAGGCAACTAGTACTTTCAACACGACAACATCGTCAGCTACCAGAACTCAGGCCGGTGTATCAACATCAACAATTTCATCTGCAATCACTCAAGCAACTGGCGCATCCAACATGACAAACACTACAGCAAAGGCCATCATAAATGATCATGAAAAGGCCATCTTAAGAACAATCACAATCACTTTGGGGATAATTCTGTTCATCGCTATATGTGTCATAGTTATTCTACCTGTTATGTACAGACGACAGCCAGCGATGTTAAAGCAAAGAACGAATTTCGGTACTAACATGGACGATTTAACGACCATGCTAGAAAAGGTTAAGACCCAAATGGGCTCTGATAATGTGGCAATGGCCTAAAAGTACGACTAGAAGGACAAAATAATTACGAACCAAACTGTAATTTTAAGGACTGCTCGGTGTAATGATATGTCACAAGATGTGCAATAAAGGACTCCCACGACGAACGTGTCCGTTCCAAACAGTTTCCGTTACCCAAGTATCCGTTCCAGGCACTGTGAGGTTACACGTGCCTAACCCCCCTATCACACCAAACTAGTTCTTACCCGTTCTTGCCAGTCCTACGAAAACGTCGTAAAACGGGCTCAATCTGGCTGTGGTCGGGAAATATGTCTAAAATAATTAGCTACTTCGTTCATAAACAGTCTTCAATACGTCCATCTCATTCGCAGTGCGTTCAGGTCGCACCACGTCGGTGTGCAACGTCGTATAACGCGTCCCTTAATCTAGAAGGTCATCATGACCTGATTACAGAACGGTATGGTCACCATCGAATTTTGAATCGATTCAAAATTCTAAATCACATTCCCCGTCCGGGAAAGTCCATGAAGTTCGTAAACAGACCGTAGAACGTTGTAGCTACGTTCATTCAGTTCGCACACAGTTTAAGTTATCAAGTTGAATAAAAACAGATAGGGACATGGCCAAGGCCCGAAACAAACAAACCAAACAATATTGACTATATTACAATGGAATGCACATGGTCTATCACAACATACAAATAAAGGGGAACTACTTGAACGTTTCAAATCATATGACATTATAAATATCTGTGAAACTTGGGCAAAAACGAATCATGATTTTGACGATTTACTTGATACTGTGACAAAATTGTGAGTTTCATTTTTGTTTTATTTTGAACTTTTATATGTGGAGTCAGTCGACTCTTTCAGAGAGTTTAATTGCTCAAATGTGTACATGCAGAATGTCACGTAGGCACTGGGATGTTTACTGATCAGCAGACTGTAGTGGAATAAATTAGAATAATTAAGTACCCAGCAACCGGTGATCAGCCAATCAGATTCTTTTATTTGAATTTCCCTCCAACTTAAGTTGTAGTTTTCCCATGATGCAACTTGAGGTGTCTGTATTTTATTGTTTGTAATTAACCACGTGAATCAGAGTAAACCAAGATCTTGAAGATACAACACCTCGTCAGTTTGGATTTATTTATGTGCAAGCGTGTTTTATTTAATCTGTGGACTTATTGGAGCATTATTTTGGATATATTGGATTAGTTGCAGTAATCGTTAGATGCAGATTGTATTTGGTGCGACTATTGAAGAAAATACAAGACAACAGCCAGTGTTTTGGTGAGTTAACCATTTTCTTGATTGAGGTTGGCATAAATGGGTAATTAGCTGTCCGCCATCTTGCTTTCTTGTTCCCACAATTCCCGGCGGTCGGCCATCTTTGATTTTGAAGGAAGTGACGTCATTTTGAGAAGTTTTGAGCTCCAGATTCTCTGAGTAGATTTGGCTCTGTCTAATCTCATTTCTTTGATCGATATTCGTGAGTCATTCTGCTCTGAGTATTGGTGGCTCCTAGTCATTACCCCTCCAAGCTATAAATGCTCCTACTTTGTCGAGGCGATCTGACTCTCACCCAGGGTTGTATGTTGAGGAAGGTTTACTCTCATCGGAGCCAAGGTTACATTACCGGAACTGAGGTGCTCCAAGGCGAGAGATAACAGCTCTGTCTAATCTCATCCTTTGATCGACATTCTAGAGTTGTTATTCTCTACAGAGGTTGTAGTGAGGTTGCTCCTGCGAAGAGGTTACTCCGAGAGCAGAGGTTACTCTTTGGAGACAGTGTAGCTCATTGAGTGAGAGCACTTTTTGAGTAGAAGTTACTCTTTGGAGACAGTGTAGCTCATTGAGTGAGAGCACTCTTTGAGTAGAGGTTACTCCTGAGACGAGGCGATTCCCGGGGCTGAGGTACTAGCAGTGTGTGGATCTTGTTCAAGAGTAGAGGTTACTCCTGAGACGAGGCGATTCCCGGGGCTGAGGTACTCCCAGTGTGTGGATCTCGTTGGAGAGCAGAGGTTTCTCCTGAGAAGTGACGACTCCAAGAGCAGAGGATACTCCCGGAGCCTGGACCCCTTCCGAGAGACAGTGTAGCTCAAGAGTGAATTGAGCAGAGGTTGTAGAGAGGTATATCCTGAAAAGTGGTGACTCCAAGAGCAGAGGTTACTCTCGGAGCCTGAACCCCTTCCAAGAGACAGTGTAGCTCAAAGAGTGAAAGCACTCTTTTGAGGAGAGTTTAAGGGTGGTTACTCCCGTGACAAGGCGACTCCCGAAGCAGAGGTTACTTCCAGAGCCAGGGCTCCTTCCCAAAGACGAGATAGCTCAAGAGGGAGAGCTCTTTTCAAGCAGAGCAGAGCAGAGTAGACAAGCAGAGTATTGCAGAGAGCAGAGCATAGCAGAGAGCAGAGCCGAGTATATCAGAGAGAGCAGAGCAGACAAGCAGAGCAAAGAGCAGAGTATGGCAGAGTAGCATAGAGACAGACAACTCAGAGCCAGAGTTTTTGTTATATAGAGACATTATTGTATTACTGGCCATAAAGGCATTTGAGGACATTTTGAAATTGATTGTTATAGTAATTATAGTGTTGAATAGATTGTTAAAATCCCGTAATTGATTGTTTTTTACATTGTGTTTTCCATCTCCTAGCTCAGTGACAGCTGAAGCACCAAACCAGCTCGGCGCCCGTGATAAACACCTCCGAATCCCTTATCATCGCCACCAGACCTTCTCCGAGGGAGTACGGGTACTCGGCGGGAGTCTGGCGCGCGACATTGGTGGCAGCGGTGGGATTTTTCACTGTTCCTAGAGATGGAGAGAAGCATGGAGATGTCAGAGGCAGGGAGAAGTCCAAGAACTTCTCACCACGGCGGCTCAATTGATGATCCAATGGGTATCCCAAAGGGGAGGACACTCAGGAGGACACCGGAGCCAGACGACACAGTGGTTTTTAAAGGTGGCCCCAGAAACCTGGAGCTGGAGACCCAAGATACTCTTCCTTTGGAGCCAAGGGACTCGGGTCTGAATCCAGAGAAGTATGGTGCCATGGGTGGTACAGAGAGATATTTGCATGTACCTGAACAGAGACCAGGGCAGAGAGTGGCCCAAGACAGTACTGGGTATTGGTCAGAGTCAAGGATGCAGTCCAGGATGCAGAGTGAGTTCACTCCCTCCAAGTTTCGTACTCCTGGAGTACTAGGCAGACAGGACCAGCCCTTCCCTGTTACCTCCACAGAGATCAAAAGTGATCATGGAATGGCCAAGAAGCCCACATCAAGTGAAGGTGCTCCTGAGAAACGGCTACGAGAGACTACAAGGAGGTTGAGTTTGATTACTCGTGAAGATAACCCTCAACTATCTACAGGAAGATGGCAGGATCAGTTGCCTATGCCTGCAACCAGGAGAAGTCCACCTCGCCTACAAGAACCAATACAGTCATGGAGAGAGGAAAGGCCCCCTCCCCCTAAACCAGAGATGCCAGAGAGGGAAAAATGGCAGCGTATCCCAGGGACACATGCTGATGAACCAAGGAGTAGAATTTCCTTTCCAGAGATTAAGACTCCAGAGAGGTCGAATGTGCCAGAGACTGCTAAGTGGGCAGAGCATCAACAGCAGCCCTCCTATTGTCCCATGCCTGTTGATGATCAAGAGATGGAAGCGAGAGGCTCTAAGAGTTGTCCTGTTCCTGGACTCCCTGAGGCCCCTGTGGGGATGTTTCCCGTGTCCAAACCTTGGAGTTTAAGGAGACAGGATCGAATGTTTATACCTGCAGAGAGACCTGAAACTCAACCAGTGGGAGTGTCCCCAGAGAGAAGACCAGCTCCTACTATCCCTGACCAGGATACCACTGAAGGAGTGCATGGTAAACTAGTTGAGAAGTCAAGAGATTCTGCAGCTGAAGAGACCAATAGAGCCCTGCTTCTTGCTGAGCAGGCCATGCAAATGTGCAAATCAAACAATGAGCAGTTGGTGAAAGCACTGAGCTCATCTAATACCGAGAAGAAGACCAAGATAAAGCCTAACCAGTTGTTTGATGGGAAGACACCATGGCTCGATTACAAGGTGTATTTCCAGAACTGCATTGACAGTAATGGATGGAGTGATGAGGAGAAGCGGCAACAGTTGACAAACCAGTTGAGAGGGGATGCCCAGCAGGTAGTGCAAGAGCTGGAGCAAGGCCACTCCTATGATGAGCTGCTTGAAGCACTCACTAAAAGGTTTGGACCAGGTGAAAAGGCTTCCATGTATGAGGCAGAACTCAATACAAGGACAAGGAAGCCCAAGGAGTCATTACAAAGTCTTGGCCAGAGCATAAGGAGACTAGCTGCTCTTGCATATCCCGAGATGCCTCGCTCTTCTCAGGATAGGTTGGCGAGGAAATGTTATGAGAATGCCATAACAGATGATGAGGTGCGAGCAGCTGTCCATCGGAGAGACCCCAAGTCTCTTGATCAGGCCATAGAAGAGGCTCAGAAGGAGGAGGCATACTTGGAGTCAGAGCGAATCCGGAAAGGCCTGAAGCCAAAACAGCGGGATCACCAAATTGCAGCTGTTACCAATGACTCCCAAGAAGAAAAATTCATTAAGATGATGAAAGAGTACCAGGAGGGAATGACTAAAGAGTTAAGGGAGTTCAAGGAGGGAATAAAGGAGATTGTTGACGCAGTTAAGACCTCTAAAGGGAAGAGGACACCCTTCATTTGCAGGAAGTGTGGAGAAGAAGGGCATACAGTGAAGAGATGTCCCTTGATTATCTGCTTCAACTGCTCCGAAGCAGGACACTTAGCATATGAGTGTACAAGACCTCAGCGAGTCAGGAAAGCTCCTGTAGCTGCATCAAGTGGGAACAGTAATGTGATTGGTGTCTCCTCAGTCCAGATGGTGAATGAACATGGACAGGAGAAGACTGATTCCCAGAGTAAGAAGATCCTTGCGCATGTCCGAATTAAGAATAGTCCTATGCTCTTTGTGGTGGATTCTGGCTCATGCTGTACATTGATGTCATTGCATTCATTCAACCGCATCCCATATCGGAGACGTCCAACTCTTAAACCTTCTAGGCCAGTTCTTTCACAAGCAGATGGCTCTAGGTTGGAGGTGTATGGGACAATCACTTGTGAAGCAGATGTAAATGGGAGACGGATGCCTTTAGAAGTTATAGTAGCAGATATAACTCATGATGGAATATTGGGTTCAGAGTTCCTCACTGCAAGCAAGGCAGTCATTGATTATGGCCGACTGGTAATCCAGTTTCCTGTGGAGCAGGAGAACTTCAGCTCAAAGAGAGATACTGGAGCAGACCAGGGACCAAGTAGCTCCAAGAAGAAGAGACAAAGGAAATCTCAAGGCAAGAGACAGAGAGCCAAACAGGAGAAAATAGCACAGAAGACTCAGGATGATGGTGATTCCATTAAGGTGATGGAGAAAATGGAAAAGGACTTTGTACCAAAGGCTGACAGTGTACAAGAGAGTATAGCATCCACGATTGAGTCTAGGAGTGTCAGAGAGTCTCGGAAGTCTGGGAGGAAGCTGAGTATCCAGAGAGATGCCAGTGC